CCCGCCCCCTTATGCTGTCCCCGCCCCTTCACGCTGGGCCTGCCCCTCCTCACACTGGGCCCGCCCCTCCTCACCCTGTACCTGCCCCCCTCACGCTAGGCCCTCCCCTCCTCACGCTGGGCCCACCCACTCACGCTGTGCACCTCCTTCCTCATGCTGTCCTTCCTCACGCTGTTCCCGTCCCCTCACGCTGTGTGCCCGCCCCCTCACGCTGTGTGCCCGCCCATCTCACGTTGTGCCCATCCCTCCTCACTCTGGGCCCGCCCCCCCACGCTGGGCCCGCCCCTCTCACGCTAGCCCCGCCCCCTCGCGCTGGGCCCGCCCCTCCTCACGCTGGGCCCGCCCCTCTCACGCTAGCCCCGCCCCCTCACGCTGGGCCCGCCCCTCTCACGCTAGCCCCGCCCCCTCACGCTGGGCCCGCCCCTCCACACGCTGGGCCCGCCCCTCACGCTGGGCCGGCCCCCACGCTGTGTCTGCCCCCCTCAGGGCGGAGCCCGCGCTGTCGCGCATCCGGGAGGACCGGCGCCGCATCGTGCTGCCGGCCATCGACAACATCAAGTACAGCACGTTCGAGGTGCAGCAGTACGCCAACGCCGCGCACGGCTACAACTGGGGCCTCTGGTGCATGTACATCATCCCCCCGCAGGACTGGCTGGATCGCGGCGACGAGTCGGCGCCCATCAGGTGAGCGGCCCGGTGGGGCGGAGGGCCGCCCTGCCCGGGAAGGAGCGAGCAGGCTGAGGCGCGCGTGGGGCGAGGGCTGGGGAGGTCCCCGGCGAGCACGGCCTGCTGCGGGCCCAGCAGAGACGCGTCGGGGCGGGTGCCGGCCCGGGCTTTGCGGTAAAAGCGCCCCCGGAGCTGGCCTGTATCCCAGAGCCCGCAGAGGCGGCCCCCAGGGCTCACTGGAGCCAGGAGTAATTAATGGCTTGAAGGTTTTTCTTCATTCGAAATGCGCTTGGTAGCCCCAGTGGAAGGCCTTGCGTTTGGCATTTTGAAAATCAGTGAAATTCAGACGACCCAGTGGGGGGCATCCCCCCAATGTCTGGCCGGCCCTGGACACCCTGAGCTGCAGCAGGAGCAGCTCGCTGGCCCCACCGAGGCCGCAGGGCACGGCTGCCCCTGCTCCGCACAGCCACCGCCTGCACAGCCGCTGAGAACGCCCGTGCCAACCCCCAGCTAAAAGACAGGGGGCGACTTGAACAGACACTCCCCAGGAGAAGGCGGGCCCACGCCAGTAAGCCCAGGAAAGGTGCGCCCCACAGCCCAGGAAGATGCAAAGTAAACCCGCAGTGAGGTGGGGCCCCGCCCACTGGCGTGGCTGAAAGGCGCAGGCTGACAATACCAAGTGTCGCCAAGGACCTGGTGCAGACGCAACTCTCCGCCGTGGCTGGTGGGAGTGTAATTCGGTACAGCCGCTTTGGAAAACCAGCATTTCCTTCTGAAGGCCCCAGACCCTCTCCAGGTCTCACCTCTTCCACTCCAAGGTGTTTTTCTCAAAATGAACGAGATGTATGTACATGCAAAGGCTTCCACACAAACCTCAGCGCATTTCTCACAGGATCCCTCCTGTGTGTCAGCAGGTGAATGGATGAGCAGGGCAGACTCCACTCGCCCTGAAATACTCGGAAGCAGGGAGGGGCGGGCCCTTCCACACCCAACAGTGTGGTCGAGAGGCAGAGGCTGGTGCCGAGCCCCGGAGCCACACACAGAAGCGTGTGCCCCTTCCACACCTAACACCGTGGCCGAGACACAGAGGCTGGTGCTGAGCCCCAGAGTTACACAGAAAAGACCCACAAGGGAAAGGAGCTTTTCTGCAGAATGTAGACTTCCCCCACGAGAGACAACAGTTCACGGCCTTTTCAAAATACATGAAAGAAATACGTTTCGGGTAAAATACTTCAGTTTCTTTCAGGGCCTGCTGCCACTTTGGATGCATTTTGTCTCTAAAAGAGTCTGTTTGGTCAGATTTAACGTCTCTGTTTTAATGTTAGCACTGGTCAGTTGTGCCTGAATTTCAAAGGGAGCAGGGATAAGGAGCTTGTCCAAACGCCCTTCCCATCAGAACCTGCGCTAGTGGCTCATCTTCAGAGGCCTCTTTGGAGGTGGCCTCACTGCCCAGGCCCGTGAGGTGGCTGCCCTGATGGCCTCCGCCCCATTCTATCCTGCTTCCTGCCCCTCTTCTCCTTTCTCCAGGGACAAACACTGGGGACCATCCTCATTGTGGAGGATTCCTGGGATCCCAATTTAGACCTGGCACCCCATCACATGAGCAAGGCAGGAGACTGGCAGGAAGGACGGGCCGCACCCCTCCCCAGAAAGCGGATACTGGGAACCCCTCCAAGACACAGCACCCGGTCCTGTATCACAGCTTCCTGCCCTGTAACCTGCGTCATGAACATGACGTGCCTTTCTGCGTTTTTCACCCTGAATGTACCCCAGTTTTAATTTTAACATTTTGTTTCAGTCCCTCTGATTGAAGGTGGCAAATGTTAACCGAAACCAAAGTTAAAATTGTATTGATCAAAATTCACGAAACCAAATGTGTGTGAAAGAAATGTAAATAATCAAGCCCTCGGGTGACATTTTCATGCGTGTGGCTCGCAAATCTGCACGTACAGGTACCGCGTGTGGGTCACCACCTGTGACTTGCACGGTGAGTTTCCGTGTGCGTTATTCTCCACGCCCTGAACTCCGTGTGGAAGGACGTGGCTCTGGTGTGCTTGTCTTAGCTTCTCCGTGGATTGTGTCTGATGCGCGCACTGCCATTTCCGTACTTATCCCAGGTTCATGGACACTTGGCTCACCAGGACTCCCTGGCACGTGCAGACAGCAGGCCCACTGCGGGCCTTCAGGGATATGGGTCCCAACTCTACCCACACGGGCAGCGCCCGCCACTGCCTCCTCACCATCCTGCGTAGGCACGAGCTGAACCTTTTTTGGTGGTGGTTTTGTTTTTTGAGACAGAATCTTGCTCTGTCGCCCAGGCTGGAGTGCGGTGGCGCAATCTCACCTCGCTTCAATCTCTGCCTCCCAGGTTCAAGCGATTCTTCTGCCTCAGCCTTATGAGTAGCTGGGACAGCAGGTGCCTACCACCACGCCCGGCTAGTTTTTGTAATTTTAGTAGAGATGGGGTTTCACCATGTTGGCCAGGCTGGTCTCTCAGATGATCCACCCACCCCAGCTTCCTAAAGTGCTGGGATTACAGGTGTGCACCCAGCCTGAGCTGAACTTTTCCTTCTACAGAGAAAGAAGAGGCCTCACCTCTTCTTATTGTGATTTGGCTCCGGTCTCTGAGCCCCACCCACTCCCAAAGCCACGCCTGCTGCTGCAGCCCTCCCACTCCCACAACCACGCCCACTCCTGCAGCCCCACCCACTCACAACCACGCCCACTCCTGCAGCTCCACCCGCTCCCAAGCCCCTCCCACTCCCACGCCCCTCCCACTCCCACGGACACACTCCTGTAGCCCCGCCCACTCCACAGCCCCGCCCCTCCCCATTCTTCCCTTGGCCCCAGACTCTCCTACCTGCAGCCAGGTGTCTGCACACACATGCACGGGAGCCTGCAGGAGAGCAGAGCGCAGGACCCAGCCGTTAACTGGGGACAGTTACATAACCTGCAGTGCCTGCATAAAATGTAGCAGCACAGGGGAGCTGCAGTAAACGCACCAGAGTGCGTCCTTCACAGCCCGAAAGGTGCAGGGCAGACGCCTGATTCAAGCTGGCCTACTCAGAACAGGGACTTAGCGATTCAGGCCCGGCTCCGGCCGGGGCTCACATGTTGCTGCCCAAAGCCTGCTTCCCTCCCTGCCCATTCCCTGGCCTGGCGTAACTCTCAGTGCAGTGCAGGACAACGTACCACCCAGCTCGCACCCCTGGGGTGAAGTCAGGGGAGCCCATCAAACCACATCAGAAGGGGTTGGGGGGTTCTCAGCAAAACCCATGGCCGAGCCCCGAAGAGGTGGAGCACGGCGGGTGTCCTGCTGTCTCTCCCAGTCTGTGGGCTGGGGAGGAGGGTGACGCTGGTCCCGACCTGCGGCTTGTTTTGGGAGGCGCAGATGAGCCAAGTCCTGGGCACAGTACCTGGCTCCATCAGCAGCCACCCCGATTGTCACTGTCACAGGTGATATGATGACAACGGCTTTTATTTTTCTTTGGAGACTTAGTCTCACTCTATCTCCCAGGCTGGAGTGCAGTAGCACAATCTCAGCTCACTGGGTTTAAGCAATTCTTCTGCCTCAGCCTCACAAGGAACTGGAATTACAGGCATGCACCACCTCACCGAGCTAATTTTAGTATTTTTAGTAGAGACAGGGTTGCCCTCCGTTGGTCAGGCTGGTCTCAGACTCTTGACTTTGTGATCTGTCCACCTCAGCCTCCCAAAGTGCTGGGATTACAGGCGTGAGCCACCGCGCCCGGCCACAACGGCATAACTCACATAACGTAAAATTAACCACACGGAAGTGTGCACTTCAGTGGCATTTAGTGCATCATGGCATTGTGCAACCGCCACCTCCACCTCGTTCCAAAGCATCATCCCTCCCCAAGGGGACCTCGTACCCATGGGCAGTCACTCCGTTTCCCCGCCGCAGCCCCTGCATCCACGGATCCATGTGAACTTGCCTCTTTTGCTCCTTGCATGCAGACGGAGTCACATGGGGGGTGGCTTTTTGCCCCTGGCTCCCTGCCCTCAGCGCCACTTTTCCAGGGTTCCTCCGCGTCGCAGCCTGCGTCAGCCTCACTCCTTCCACCGTGGAATCGCAGTCCATTGTCTGGATGGTCCACTGTCTGTTTATCCACCTGTCCCCGTGGCGGCTGGGCTGGCTCACTTCTGGTGCCAACAAGAAGAATGAGAGGTGTCCGGCTGGGCTGAGGCCCCGGAAGCTGAGAACCGGAGGGCGTGCGCAGGCGTCGGGCAGAGCAACTCCAGCACACAGGACCTGGGGTCTCCACACTGCACCCTTGTGCCCTGCCCTCATGCGGCAGAACTACCCCAAGGGGAGGCTGTCTCCATGGTGACAGGCAGCCCCCTTGTGCGTGATGAGAACCCTCAGCCCTGCCTTTCTCTGGAATCACAGCAGGCGTTCCTCAGGCAGGTCAGTCCAGTTCCAGCTGGTGCTGCCTCCCTTGCCTCATGTGTTTAAGTTTATTTTAGGACTCTGAGCAATAATAGAAAACCCACTACCCGCTGCAATAGACGTGGCAGAGAATGTGGCTGTTCACTTCATCAGAGATCACCCCAAGATGACTGTTGTTTTTAAGAAAACAGGAGAAATACCTGTTGTATGTGGTAAACTATAACTTACCCAATCAAATGTCGCTACTAAAAATCAAAGAGGGCATTAAAATTTCATTACTGTTAGGTTTGTAGCCAAAACCTAATGACAGAACAAATTGGATCTTTGTACAGATAAAAGGATAATTGCCTTTAATGCTCCTGTTATTCTTGGACAATGGATGGGCACTTATTTCTGACTGCTGAGTCGCTGGGGACAGAGGCCAACTTTTGGCTGTTGCTTTTATTGAAGAACACGTTGATACCTAGAGCAGGATCAGGAAGCTCAAGGCCTGCAGGGCGACCGTGGCCTTGACCGTGGCCGCGGGGGGCTGTGCAGGCCTGCCTTGGCATCTGGGGACAGCGTGAGGCTTCGCTCATTTCTCCAACAGCACCTGAGGCCTCGGAAAAAGTGAAGCCCTCCATGGACAAGGAAATTGTTTTGAGGCAAAATCTTTCAGCAGATTAGAAGTTCCTCCTTCCCTACAACACGCAGACTCTGCCTGCTCCTTGCTGGAAATGGCACTTTCCTGCCTCCTTTCAATCCCCACCACCTTGCAGACGCCCAGCAGAAACCTGAGAGGGATGAGCGAATGAGCTCACCGCGTCACCCACAACGCCACCGCCAGCTTACCCCTCCCGCTCCACCGGAAGATCCTGCCTTCACTGCTGCTGTCCACGTGGCCTCTTCCCAGGGCATTCACGGCACTGATGCATTCTCAGTACCTGTTAGACAAAATATAACTGGCATGTCGATGCATGATTTCACAGATATGGGACCAGGCTAAGTCGGCTGGCATTTTAGAGTTATTCGGGGAAGTGTGGTACAGCCGGCAGTCTGTTCCATGTAGCTGCACAGGCTGTGACTCAAGACGTCATGCTGCATCATTCAGTGTGTGATCAACAAGCTCTGTGGAGTTGAGCAGTGCACAACCTACACAACTGCCCATTGCAGCCCTGACTTCTGATTCACTGATAGAACGAAGCCTGGGGGAGGTGGGCAGGTGACTCATGTGAGCTGGGGAAACGATGTTCGAGGCAACCACAGGACTCCTTGGGTAAACCAATCTTTCTTCAGGGAAGTGGGAGACAGGATCTCACTCTCTTGCCCAGGCTGGAGTGTAGTGGTGCTGTATCAGCTCACTGCAGCCTCAGCTTCCCAGGCTCAAGGGCTCCTCTCCCCTCAGCCTCCCTAAGTGCTGGGATAATGGGTGTGAGCCACCACACCAGCCAGTTGATGCTTGTTTCAACCCCCAACACTAAGCTGAATTGAATTTGGTTTCTGTCACCTGTTGGTGCTGGGGGTGTGGACGCCGTCTGTGCCCAGTGCTGGACCAGACTCCGAGGGACTCCAGTCCTGGGTCTGGAGGAGCAGTGGCCTCACCTTGGGCACAGGGACCTGAGTGCGCAGGGAGGGGTCACAGGAGGGAGGGGGTTGGAACTCTCCCAGGCCGTCCCAGCTCATGGCCTGGCTAGCAGGGCTGGGGCCTGCATGGCGAGGGCCTCATGCTGACTTCTCTGCCTCCCAGGACCCCGGCCATGATCGGCTGCTCCTTTGTTGTGGACCGTGAATACTTCGGGGACATCGGGCTGCTGGACCCCGGCATGGAGGTGTACGGCGGTGAGAACGTGGAGCTGGGCATGAGGGTGAGTGTGGCCGCGGCGTCCGGGGACAGCAAGGGTGAGCGTGGCTACGGCGTCCGGGGACAGCAAGGGTGAGCGTGGCTACGGCGTCCGGGGACAGCAAGGGTGAGCGTGGCTGCGGCGTCCGGGGACAGTGAGGTTGAGCATGGCCGCAGCGTCCTGGGACAGTGAGGGTGAGCGTGGCCGCAGCGTCCCGGGACAGTGAGGGTGAGTGTGGCCAGGCATGAGGGTGAGCGTGGCCGCAGCGCCCCGGCACAGTGAGGGTGAGTGTGGCCGCAGCGTCCCGGGACAGTGAGAGTGAGCGTGGCCGCAGCATCCCGGGACAGTGAGGGTGAGTGTGGCCGGGCATGAGGGTGAGCGTGGCTGCGGCGTCCGGGGACAGTGAGGTTGAGCGTGGCCGCGGCGTCCCGGGACAGTGAGGGTGAGCGTGGCCGGGCATGAGGGCGAGCGTGGCTGCGGCGTCTGGGGACAGTGAGGTTGAGCATGGCCGCGGCGTCCCGGGACAGTGAGGGCGAGCGTGGCCGTGGCGTTCAGGGCTCCTGCTCAGGGCGCCGAAGTCTCTCCGGAGCCTGGGCTGAGGCAGCTGGAAGCTGAGCTGGTCGGCCAAGGCCCCCAAGGTCCCTGAGCTGGAGTAGGGGATGGGAGACGGGGCTACACTGAGTCTCTCTAGAAGCTGGGTGGCAGTGTCGCTGAGAAATCCTGTAGAATTGCAAAAGATGGCATTTCCCATGACAACTGTATTTTTCAAGCCCCTGGTTTTGTTGTAGGAATTGCCCAGGGTGGGGGCAGTGGATTGGGACTTTGTAAAAGTGGGTTCTTTGGCACAGGGGAGGGCAGCTGGGGGGACCCCAACCATATTCCATACCTCTGTCTTGGCTGGGTGTGGAGGGCAGGGTGCAGAGGGAGATGAGGGTGCCTGGAGTCTCCATAGGAGCCATGGTGGGATCCTGGGGTACAGCCTGTGCAGAACTGGGGGCAATTCTGGGGTACAGCTGGGAAGGCCAGTGTAGAACTGGGGTCCTGGAGTGCAGCTGGGAAGGCCCATGCAGAACTGGGTACACTGGGGGTGCAGCTAGGAAGGCCTGTGTAGAACTGGGGTGTACTATGGGTGTAGCTGGGGGGTGCTGGGGCACAGCTGGGAAGGCCTGTGTAGAACTGGGGTGCACTGGGGTGCAGCTGGGGGGTGCTGGGGCATAGCTGGGAAGGCCTGTGTAGAACTGGGGTGCACTATGGGTGCAGCTGGGGGGTGCTGGGGCATAGCTGGAAAGGCCTGTACAGAACTGGGGTGTACTATGGGTGCAGCTGGGGGTGCTGGGGCACAGCTAGGAAGGCCTGTGTAGAACTGGGGTGCACTGGGGTGCAGCTGGGGGGTGCTGGGGCACAGCTGGGAAGGCCTGTGTAGAACTGGGGTGCACTAGGGTGCAGCTGGGGGTGCTGGGGCATAGCTGGGAAGGACTGTACAGAACTGGGGTGTACTATGGGTGCAGCTGGGGGTGCTGGGGCACAGCTGGGAAGGCCTGTGTAGAACTGGGGTGCACTGGGGTACAGCTGGGGGGTGCTGGGGCACAGCTGGGAAGGGCTGTGTAGAACTGGGGTGCACTGGGGTGCAGCTGGGGGTGCTGGGGCATAGCTGGGAAGGCCTGTACAGAACTGGGGTGTACTATGGGTGCAGCTGGGGGTGCTGGGGCACAGCTGGGAAGGCCTGTGTAGAACTGGGGTGCACTGGGGTGCAGCTGGGGGTGCTGGGGCACAGCTGGGAAGGCC